TACATACATACATACATACATACATACATACATACATTACATACATTACATACATACATACATACATACATACATACATACATACATACATACATACATACATACATACATACATACATACATACATACATACATACATTATACATACATACATACATTACATACATACATACATACATACATACATACATACATACATACATACATACATACATACATACATACATACATACATACATACATACATACATACATACATACATTACATTACATTACATTACATTACATTACATTACATACATACATACATACATACATACATACATACATACATACATACATACATACATACATACATACATACATACATACATACATACATACATACATACATACATACATACATACATACATACATACATACATACATACATACATACATGCATGCATACATACATACATACATACATACATACATGCATACATACATACATACATACATACATACATACATACATACATACATACATACATACATACATACATACATACATACATACATACATACATACATACATACATACATACATACATACATACATACATACATACATACATACATACATACATACATACATACATACATACATACATACATACATACATACATACATACATACATACATACATACATACATACATACATACATACATACATACATACATACATACATACATACATACATACATACATACATACATACATACATACATACATACGAGAGAGGGAGATTGGGGAGAGAGAGGCTTGGGGGGATGGGGAGGATGGGGAGCAGAGGGAGGGAGAGAGGACGACAGAACACACCAGGGAGACAAGGGAGAGAGGAAGAAGGAGAAAAGGGAGAGGACAATGTCGGCGGACTGAGCCGGAGGCTCTAAAGTTAAAGTCCTAACATCAAAGCAACATGCACCAAAGTGACTAAGGGATCAAACCATTGAAACCAAAAGGTCAGCTCCGGTCGATTCACCTGCTAGGTCCTCCAGATTTGAGAGGTTAGAATAAGGGTGCTCGATTTTCTCTGTGGTCGTTCTTAGTAGGGAACCCTCCCCCTAAAAAAGGGTAAAAGGGCACTATCGAGAAATTTGGTTTGCAAATAAGGCAAGGATTTCAGGCTCAGGTTCCTGGCAAGTGATCCATCATGTTGCCCCCTTCAGTGGGGTTGGGAGAAACAAACCGAAGCGGCTAACCTTGCTGGTGCTCAGGGAATGAGCCCAGGGAGTCCCTTGAAGCTGAGGGTTTTTGTATTACGCCCTGGGATTACACCCTTGGGAAATAGAATGGTTCAAAATCGCACGGGTTTTAGCCGGACATATGGCTAAATCAGGCCAATACCCAGTGGGTGTATTTCCAGGGGTGTAATGTTGACCCAGGATGAATAAACCCGTCCCATTATTAGGAATCACGCTCGGCCTTCCCTCCCTTTTTTCACTCCAGCAAGTAGTTTGTACAAAACAGAGAAACTAGTCCGGAAAGTTTCGGGGTTGCTTTGGCATCCAACCAATCCAAGTCGGCATCACTTTCGGAAGCAAGGCGGAATCACGTCCTTGGTGCAAAAAAGTGGGTAGCATTAGAGCTAACCATCATCGGCGACTTGGAGAATGCCTTTCCGTGCAACCCCTGGGACGGGCGGGCGGGCCTAAGACGGAAGCACTACGAGCAAAAGGGAGGAGCGGCGCGGCGGATTCCTAAACTTCGAACCGTATGTCAAGGAATCACGCTCGGCCTTCCCTCCCTTTTTTCACTCCAGCAAGTAGTTTGTACAAAACAGAGAAACTAGTCCGGAAAGTTTCGGGGTTGCTTTGGCATCCAACCAATCCAAGTCGGCATCACTTTCGGAAGCAAGGCGGAATCACGTCCTTGGTGCAAAAAAGTGGGTAGCATTAGAGCTAACCATCATCGGCGACTTGGAGAATGCCTTTCCACGTTCCCCTGCTCTCCGATATATCGGTAGCTCAAGTGCTTTAAGTTTATTGAACCACATGGTCTGAAAACACCTTTGCTTACGTGACATGACCCACGAGTGCTCGGTTAGAAGTGCAACTCCATCGGAGATATAAATGCGGGCAGTTCTTTCTGAAGCCCATCGCCCCTGCTGGCACACTTGAGTGTAGCTTTTAGTGTCAATATACAAGGCGGTAGCACCTCCCCTTCTCAAGGAGTAAGGCTTGAACCCCGTGAATTGGCACTTTTGGATGGCTTGGCTGAAGGACAACCTGAACTGGTATTGCGACACAGGCACAAGATAATCATGTGGCTTGGCTACGGAGGCCCATGCCTGCAACAGTTGAGCCGTGTAGATATGATGAATGTACACGTTTTCCACACCGGCATTGCGAGATGTCATTTTTGTCTCACCCAAATGAATTAGTACATGTGCCCCTGAGGGGATCACATGGCAGGCTTGTATTTTTAGAAGCTCACCAGTGCGCAGCAAGCCCC